GGTACCTCATATCCAAAGGTCAGGGCCATGACGGTGATGAGGAGCCCGAAAAACGCCTCGAGCTTCCTCAGGCCTGCAGGGAGGAGAAGTCCCGTCGTCACCGCGCCCGATCCCAACTTCTGCCCCCAAAAACCCGACGGGAATTACCGTATTTGTCCAGGAAGAGGAACACGAAGGTGTCGGCGATGGTGATGAGCACTCCCCCCCAGAGAGGGATCCTGCGGGTGACAGCGGGGTCAGCGCCCACCCACAGCTCCACATCCCTTTTGTTTTGGGTTTTTTTGGGGTGGAGCTGCCTGGCTCGGGGTTCTCCAGGGCCTGAGCAGGACAAGGGGCCGCAGGGGCTGAGGGGCACAGCGGGAGGACGTCACCTCCCCACCCGTGGCCAGCAGAAGTCAGACCCACACGGGCTCTCCCGGGGCAGATGGATTCCTGTGGGATGTGTCCCCGGGTGCCTCACACAGGAAAAGAAAGTTTCCACAAAGATCCTGGGATTAATGATGTTTTTTTGGGATTTAAAACCTGCGGGAGCGTTTTGTCCGACGAAGGAAAAGAAAGAATGTGAGGATGGAGGTCAGGGATGAAGAGACAGAGAAACACTCTGCTACCTGCTTCAAGAAAATGAAATATTCAGAGCAAGATTAGGCACGTGCTGCCCAAACTACTGAGCCACGTGTTCATCAGGCTGTAAAATGTTGCACCAAATGTAAAATGTTGCACCAAATGTAAAATGTTGCACCAAATGTAAAATGTTGCACCAAATGTAAAATGTTGCAGCACTGTCCGAATGAAATCAAAGGTAAAAGAGATGGAATCAAAGGTAAAACAAATGAAATTAAAGATATAAAGGTAAAACAAATGAAATCAAAGGTAAAACAAGTTAAATCAAAGATACAGAGAAAGGTAAAACAAATGAAATCAAAGGTAAAACAAACGAAATCAGAGATACAGAGAAAGGTAAAACAAATGAAATCAAAGATAAAACAAATGAAATCAAAGGTAAAACAAATGAAATCAAAGATA